TTAAATATTTTAAATATTAAATGTTAATTGTAGTAATAATATTTTAATATTTAATAAAATATTTTATTGTGATTAGACGATTAAAATTAAACAATTATAATCATCACAATATGACGCAACATTATCATCTCATAAATAACGAGTTGTGAAGAAGGCGATGGTCACCCCTGCCGACCACTGTCGTAGGGTTCTGAGTCATTGGAGGGGCTTCCTTATCCGCCCGCTGTCAAGTGTAGCTCAGTTACTCGGCCGGAATTAAGACGTGGTTAGGTTACGACTAACTGGTGTAAGAATGCCATCTTAGTGATGGGCTGTCACAAGTCAAAATTATCGGAGGACCACAAGGTGCCACCATACATGCCTGGTGCCACAGGTGTCAGTGCTGATGGGTACGTATCACGATTTATTTTTTTAAAAAAAAATTGAGGTTAGAACCGTCAATCGGGGTAAGAGAATGCAGGACTGTCTCTGCAGGTCCAATTGAGGTACTCGTGTCTTGAATACGAAATTTCTCTCTCGTTATTTCAGTTGTGCATCAGTCATTGTCGTGATGTTTATTTGTTTTAGACACAAAACTATCGATGCGAAACAAATCAGAATATAATACGTCAATGTAATGTAATTGTGAAAATGAAATTTTTAATTTTCATACCACATTGGAATAAAAATCATCATTAAAGCTAATATGACTAAACGGAAGTTTAAAATGGATTATTTTAAATGAATGGATTAGCAAATCACGTCACAGCACCAAGCGATGACACAGTCTCAAAAATTCTGTTATAGATGGCAGAAGAGTGCGTATTTGTAGCTCGACTGGAACGTGAGATTTAATGGACTGCTTTAAAAAAACAACGCACTGATAGCATTGGCATCATTATCAAAAGTGAAGATGGCTGTCTTCTGGGTTGTAGCGCCTTGTAGTCTGGTAGAAATTTACTGTCGTCTCAGAAGTCCTTGCTGCTTCCATCGTCAGGGCCTTCTAAACTTTATTGAACTTCTATTAGACTGCACGACGCTACAACCCCGTAGACCAGTGGTAATCAACCTGGGGTACGCGAAGACATCTTAGGTGGTACGTGAAATTTAAAAAAAGAAATATTATTTTATGATAAACACTGAATAATCAGTAATGTAATTTATTTAATTTATTTTAGATGTAGATTATATACTATGTATAACCTGAATTATACACCAACAACTTTGGGGGCACAAAGTTGAAGAGAAATTATATCTGGGGGTACGCGAACAAAAAAGGTTGAATACCACTGCCGTAGACAGCCATCTTCCTTGAATCATTCGACTGTATGAAAAGGAAACAGCCGAGTCTGGGCTCTGATGTCACTTTCGATAATTCGTGTTGACGTCCTCCCGCTAATTGGGCTGGACCCGTCAAAGAACGAGCTGTATCGGAAGAATCAGCACGTGGCCACGTCATTTGTGAGCCTAAAATATTCGATATGAATTAAGGCTGTCTCAGTGTTTATGGCCGGCTCATATGCGGTCGAAATGGATCCTCCAATGTTTGTAGTTACATTACCACTCCAAAAACTATAAGAATTCAGCAGTTCCACAATAAAAGCTGACTGTTCTCATGTCTAATGGGTAATAAACCCACGACCAGAATAATTAAACTAGCAGAGCGATAAAGTAGTAGTGACGACGTTTTAACGACAGCAATAACGCCACGCAGCTGTGAACTTGTCAGAGAAATGGTTGCACACGGTCGTGTCACGTGACCGTGGGAGCCATTTGCTTGTGGGGTGTTGTCCTACTGAAAAACACCTGCAACTACTACCACTACCACCATTGTCGAAAATAAAAAAATAACAAGAGAGCTCAGGAAGTGTATTTCATACCACAACACACATAATATCCTCATTCGTTCTTCGCAGCTTGTATATAGAGGCATTAAACCAGCCTTGTTCGATAGTTCCCACTTTGGCCACCAGATAGTACCGCCACCATATCCACCTCGTGACTTTTCTTAATCGTCATTTTGTTATCACCGCACATAGGATATTCAAATATACGATTCTCAGGTCATGAAACACAGCACAAACTTCACACCAAATTTCATCCAAATCGGTCCAGTGGTTCTCGAGTTGAATCGATTGGACGGACGGACATAACCTGACCATGACGCGTTCTCACTATGCAGAACGCATAATAAGTCTTAGCATGTAGGGCAATTGTCCTGAGGCGCAATGAATATTCTCCTAAAGGAAAAAAAACCCATCAAGTCCTATTCGTTTGGTTCCTTGACAATTTTGCGTTATTCTACCTGCCTTACGTACATGCAAGTATGTTGTTTTTCGTAGTACTTCAGCTGTGATTTAGTGCAATGTGAATTATTCCAATCATGTCAGAATTTCGCAAGAAATGTGCCAGGAATTTGAGAAAAAATTCACTCCACTTAAATAGACAACAGAGCATGTATTTAAATGAACCTGGCTGAAATAACCCACCGTCTTAGTGACAACGGAACTCGGCGAGTGTTAAACTTTAGGGTGCCATAAACTTTACGTCATTCGGTATTCTATAGTCTTCTTACAAACTACAAGGTGAATATGAAGAATTATACATAGTTTAAGAGTCAACGTAACTGAAGTAAAATTTGTTAATCACATTCTGTGCATCACAAAATAAAGAGGGAATTTTCTCAAACCCCTCTGGGTTTAGAGAACTACCCGTTGAGAACTACCGTACTATAGTAATCCCCCTTAGGCGGTTCTAAGTCACCAGCAGAGGGAGTTCTGATGTGCTTTCACTCACAAAGGCTCCGTTGTTCGTGTTGCAATGTTACGCTAATTTTCCGGTGGCCTTGAAGAGTTCTGTAGTGAATCCCCTCTAAACAGGTCGACACTCGAAGAATGTGAGAATTATATGTTTAAGATAAGAAGGAAATGTTTTATACAACGTTTATGAAAGTAATTGCATGGCATTGTCACGAAAGAAATTCGATTTTCGTTTTTCAATTTATAATATTCTGATATTCAGTCAAAATTTCTGTAAGCAGCTCTTAGTTACAACCCACTGCTTCTCGAAGCAAATGACATCCACGTTTTAACAGTCAGAAGTCAGAATTTCATTTAAATAATATTTGAAAATTCGGTTATTATATCAAAGAAAACATTACGCGTCTCCAATACGAAGATCAGTTGGTCAGCAATGTCAGAGATAATAATCAGCTGTTTATTTATACACTGAACAAAAGCAGAGATTTGGTGAT